TAAAACAAATTTTCATTTTGTGTTAAAGAATGATGGAAGTATCAATGTCTATATAGCGGGAGAAAGGGAGAATGTGTTTTGACCATTGCACACAGCTTTTCGATGTTCAAAGTTTATTTTATACCACATATTTTCTATATTTACAAATTTAGCACCAAAACATTGCAATGTACTGAAACAGCTGTGGATCTGAGAAGGAAGCAGATTGCATTGGATAATACAGAATGTTGGATGAGTGAAGGTTGGATAAGCGAGACTCTACTGTAGTTACAAATGCAGGTAGGACAACAAAAGTGAGAGAAATCTGCCTCTCGGGAGGAAAACTCACTTCTGTGAGTTATTATCATGGGGAAACGGTGCCTCCACTGAAACTCTCACCAATCCTTGTTTCTACAACAAGCCAAATTTTGCAAAATCTAATTATCACAGAGACAGAAAGTAAGGTGAAATCTTCTGAATGGGGCACAGACAGCAAAATAAACACCACAGGGATGTTATCCCTTCCTCATATATAACCTGAAGCCTATATATTTGCATATTTTGTTTTAGTTACACTTAAAAAGACACCTGTTTTGACTTATAAATAAATTCAACTTAAGAACAAACCTACACAACCTATCTTGTTCATAAATGGGGGCTGCCTGTGTTCTTTGGTGTATAACCTTTATAGCAGTACATCCACTGCAATTATATGGGTATCAGTGGGTAGATTCCATGAGGATCATTCTCAGGATAGTGTGGTGAAGAGGAAAGTGTGTTATACTTTCAGAGAATATTCAGGAGATGAAAATGTACCACACTACACTAGATGGAGATGGGGGGTCTTTGGATATATTTTGTATCTAATGATATATAACTGTCACAATCATCCTACTAGTTATCTCAAAACGCAGGGGTAATAGGAAAGGTTGGGGCATAGCTTCCTTATGAGAAAGTTAGCAAAGAACATGGAAGACTAAAATTCCTTTTTGTTTCCATCCTCACCAGACCCCTAGAGGGGTCTTCCTATCAGGAACAGAATTTAACCCCATTATAGAAAACTCTCCCAAAGGCCAAAACACACCATAAAGTTAGTCAAGGGGTGGAAGAAAAGTGAGAAGGATTAGCTACTCAGCAGTGGCCCCTCTTGGCCAGTGAAAAAACTACACAAACATCAGAATCCAGTAAACCTCAGAAGGAGCAGATGATATAAAGACTTAATAGCATCACTCAGATTTTTCATTGTTCATTTAACTAGCATCACAGGCTCCCCCACTTCTGATGTCTCCTAGCAATGTATATTCATTTTTCCCTGACAGCAGAACAGCCTGTCATGCTGAAGTTATTTGTATGTTGCTGATGTCAAAAATGTGTGAATGAAAATTTATTTCTTCTTCAGCGACATGTAGATATACAGATTTTAGGGGGAATAACAGAACTTAATTCAGGAGGCAAATTATCCACAGGTGTAGTATGCTGAGAATTGCACTCCACCAACATTTGGAGAGCTGCATGCTTACCACCCTATCTTAATCTCTTCACAGCAAACTCAAACCAAGACTTCATAAGCAATATTCTATGTGCAGATGTTATGCCATGCATTCTGGTGGATCTTTAACTCTACTTCACAAGTCTCACAAGAGAAGAACTAGAACTGAATGCAAATAGGAATGGGCTTCATAACTTTGGCACAATCAAAAAGCTTACATTTTACAATGGAGTAAAACTTTTAGCTAATCATTTTCATATTTACAAACTTGCAATTGATTTTAAATAGCACTTAAAATTGACCAATAAGCCTATTTTAAAATGTCAGTGGTCTTTTATTACAATGGGTAGCAAGTACTAACTTTAAAAACAAAACAAACTTTGCCCTTTTTTCTTGAATCAAGAGGATGCATGTAATAATTCGGGGCTTGGGAACTTGTGGACTTCCAGATGCTATTTGGCTCCCATTTCCAGAAGCCCCTTGCCAACCTGACTGATGACATGAGATAGTGGAAATGATTTTTGCAGACACACTTTTTCATTGACCAATTCTAATATGAGACCTGTTGGGACAACTCCATGTATAATCTAAAAACAAATACTTTTTTCTCAAAGACGATTATTTTATTAATATGCAAATTATGTAGATTTAATTGATATGAATGGTTGAATAAATCTCCTCTGATCTCATTACTTGGTTGTTGTTATAATTTTATGTGACTTGTTTTATACTTTTGCATTGTTTTTACTGGTTGGATGTTATATGTGCACCCTGGAGTGCTTTGTAAGCTACTTTGAGTGAGAGTAGGGAGATAGTGGCTGGATATAAAGTTTAATTATTATTTATTATTTATTATTGCTTAACAATTCTAGTCCCACTGCACCGATTCTTTTCTTCCTTATTATTCTTTTCTTTCTTTATTATGCCCATTCTTTTATATGCCAGAAAGATAAAAGAAAGACATTCAAAATTATATAGACTTCATAATTTTATGAAAACCTCCAAATCTCTCTAAATTATTTTAAGGACCACGCTTACATCTAGGTTGACTGGCTCTGTGAAATAACATTGCCTTTGCTTTCAAAAAGAAATGAATTTTACTTTTGAGAGTATTAGGCTGTATTATAAATAGATTTCTCTTATATTACCTTTTACGAAGACTGTTGAATCACTTTAATTAAATTAGGGTATTTTTTTTAAAAAAGGAACACTCCCAAAATACAGAAACTAAATTAGACCTGAGGTAAAGGCCAGCTTTACCAGTGATCAAATAACTTCAGATCTAAGGCTAGACTGAAGAACTGCTGTCCTTTAATACTTTTTAAAAAAATAAGGAGATGAAAAGTATAAGTACATAAAAATACGATTTGCTTGTAAACATGTTGAAAAAATGTCAGATAATGAAATTTCAGATGCACTGGATGCTCAAAACACAAGAAAGCTGATATATAATGATGTTTTAGAACACGTTAATATATCTACAGATTACACATGTTATTCCGCCAAACAGAACTTTGTTGTTATTTTCAGAAGGATGTGAGTTTGAAAGTGTAACATTTTACTCAGTTTGTGAGAGAGTGCACATGTGAGAGCATAACATCTGTGAAAGTATTTGAAACATTATAATGGATTGTAACCTATTTATTTATATCCAATTATGATTTCAGGCCATTGTAGTTTGTGATCTTATGTACACATTCTTGGAAAGTATGTCCAATTGGTTTTCTAGGGACTTGCATCCAGCAATTGTACTTTAGGATCAGCAAGGATTTAGTACCAAAAGATGCCTATAATTTCAGAGTATTTAATGCCCAATTTACTCAACAAGATTATGAACACAATGTACTACAATTTATCCAATCTGGATTCAGACATGTGAGAACTGCTTGTAAGTTGCAGAACTTTGTCAATGAATCTTTCTTGCCATTTTTCCCTCGAAGAACCCACTGGACACTGTTACATGTTCTACACCATTTCCCCTTTTTAATGCCATAGGTTTGTAGTTTTGGGCTTAGTTTGGTTTTGTGCTTCCCACCCCAACCTCCAGTTTCATAAAGCATGAATGAGCACATAAAAGATTTGGAATGAATATGATGTTTTCTATATTGACCAGTCTCCAAAAATGATATGCCCACTTTCCCCATGCCAAAGATATTCAACATACTTGTAAATTACTATTTTAAGGACAAGTTGCAAACATTATGCAATCTCCAAAGATGGCTAAGTAGGCTTGTTTAGCAAAAGAGGAGAGCTAATCTCTCCCATAATTCACCATTTCGTTATTGCTACAGAAAAGTTTCAGGGTGAAAGGGAGATAGGAAAGGAATGTTTCTCTGTCTTACTTCCAAAAGTGTATCAATACCAGGGAAACTTTTCAAGGATCTCTACTAAACATATCTTCAATGGACTGAGATCCTATGGGAGCTCACAGTTAGAAGACATTCTACACCAGATGTGACATGTGAGGAAAAGGTGGGGTTCTTGCCAAATAAATTCTTCCAGTTGCAGCATTTTTAGAGAGTCATAGAGAGCCAGCCAGAGCTTATGAGAAACCAAGTATGTGTTACTTAATCAACCTAATCAAACAGTTGGCATTCTAATGTGTGCAAAAATAACTTAGATTGGGAAAAGTGAGTATTAAATAAAGCATGTCAGCTGTCTTCTCATAGTGAACATCTTGGTTGTATTTGACTCTGAATGCACTAAGAGCCCAAGCGTGATATGCCACATCAGGAGTCCCGCTGTGCTCAAAGGGCTGACTGCCTTGTGAGAGACATTAAAGCTACAACTTTAAGCACTTTTGAACCAAATGGATCTCTATTTGAGTGAAGTTGCTTGGCATCTTCCCACTCTCATGGAGGGAGATGTCTTTAACTTGTAGAGTCATCATCATTTTTTTTGTCAAAACCAGAGGGGGTGGGGTTGAATCTGGGTACTTTCCTTTCCAACACCCTGGCTCTCATCAGGCAAAGCTCATGGATGAACTGTATGATTAGATCCAAAACTAGGCGTGGGATGGATTGGATATCCCATCCTCCTCCTTTCTGGAGAAGTTTGGTGAAGGAATGGAGCAGAGAGAGACAAATAGCACAGGTTCTCCCTCTATCAATAGCAAAATAAGAAGCAGAGAGAGGCAAATTGCCTCTATCAATAGCAAAAGAAGAAGTATTCTATGTGCAGATGTTATGCCATGCATTCTGGTGGATCTTTAACTCTACTTTAACTCGACCCAATAAACCAGGCCTGAACGGAATGGTCACCTTAGGAAACCCCACTTAGAACATAACCCGAGGAAGGGGAGATCCCAGCTCTACATTACACATGTCCCTGCGTTTTCTCTCTTCCAGCATCAGCCAACAAAGCGACTTCAGTTCAGACAGAGCAGAGAGCAGCGCCGTCCAGGACCTCGAGGTGCTGAATCCAAGGGAGGCATGAGGAAGGAGGAGGAGATCGGGGAAGGAGGGGGTTGGATCGGATATAGAGGGGCGGACAAGCCAAGGCATGGGGAGAAAAGAAGCAGGCGAGCTCTTACCAGAGTTTTGTTGCCGTTCTTGCTGAGCGGACCTCGGAAAACCCCCTTGATGTTGCGAAAGTGCCCATTGCTGAGGTGCGCGGAGCTGATGACGATGTAATAACACTCCATGGGGCAGCCGCCTCGGCCGGGGTTCCCATGCACCCCGGGGGCGAGGGTGGAGGAGGCTTGTGGGAGAGCCCAGGGCTGGGCTGGCAGCGCCGGAGAGCAGAAGAGGCTGCTGGAGAAGAGGGAGGCAGGCAGGCAGGAAGGAAGGAGGAGCAGCAGCCCAACTCTGCCTCTTCCCCGTTAGCGATGGCAGCAGGAGCCGGCAGGCGTTGACCGCACAACCTCCCTCCCTCTCCCTCTCCCTCTCCCTCTCTCTCCCAATGTGTGTCAGAGGAGGAGGAGCGGCAACCTGGTCCTGCTCAGCATCTCGGTGCCTCCGCCGGAGGAGTCTGAGGAGCTGCCGCCTCTCGCCCGCGCGGCGCTGTTATAATAGCGCGCAGCCTTGCCGCTCCATCGCACGGAGCCAATGGCAGGGAGCCACTAGGCTGAGCCTGGGAGCCGTCTGCCGGGGGAGGGAGGGGAGGGGGAGAAAGAGGGAGGGAGGGGGCAGCGCCGCGCACAAAGACACCCCTGCCTTCCCCTCCGTCTCTTCTTCCCTCCCTTCCTTTCCCGAGAGCATTCAAACCCCAACAGGCGCGAGAAAGGGGGCATTCCCTATATCCCTATCCACCAGGAAAGAGGAGAGAGGGCACTGAAGCCTTCTTTCTCCCCGCTCACAGAAAAGGAGGCAGGCGGGCGGGTAGCTGGCGGAGGGAAGCCTCCCTAGCATCAGCGGCAGCGAATCCCCGGCGTGTGGCATTGGCAGCTGCTTCCCGCGCTCGCCCCTCGCTTGCTCTCGCTCTCTCTCCCCTCCCACCTCAAGAAGAAACTGAGGCACACTCCGGCACTCCGGCCATTCTATCTATCTATCTATCTATCTATCTATCTATCTATCTATCTATCTATCTATCTATCTATCTATCTATCTATCTATCTATCTATCTATCTATCTATCTATCTATCTATCTATCTATCATGTTTGTGAGTCAAGTATACAGCCTTTGGGTAGGAAAGCTCTGTCTCTCTCTCTCGAGAGTGCTTGGGTCTTCCCCACATCCTTTCCCTCAGATGACACCCCAAAGCCTCTATACACACTCCCTATATAGAGAGATAGGCTTTGGGGTGTCTTCTGAAGGAGATAGAGAGAGGGGGGCTTTGAGTGTATCATATAGAGGCTTTGGGGTGTCCTCTGAGGGAAATCTATAGAAAGGCTCTGGGGTATCTTCTGTGGGATACACACAAAGAGAGAGAGAGAGAGAGAGTAAAAGAGGCTTTTGGGTGTCCTCTGGGGGAAATATTTATATAGAAGCTTTGGGGTGTCTTCTGAGGAAATATATATAGAGAAAGACACACTTTGGGGGGTTTTCTGAGGGAAGAGAGAGAGTGAGAGTGTGTGTAAAAGAGGCTTTGGGGTGTATAATATAAAGGCTTTTGGGTGTCCTCTGGGGGAAATATTTATATAGAGGCATGGCATTTAAAGTGGTGTTAAACTGTATTCATTCTACAGTGCAGATGCACCCTTATTTATTTTACTATATTTGGGGTGTCTCCTGAGGATATATATATATATATATATATAGAGAGAGAGAGAGAGAGAGAGAGAGAGAGACTTTGTGCCTGATGCACATGGGGACACGCACACAGAACCCTAATGACCAGCTTAACCTACTAGAGGGCTTTGAGGGTGTCCTCTCTGAGGGGAAAACCTATTAGAAGGCTTTGCGAGGTAGACCGATATGTAAGGTGATACGAAACAAAAAAGGAGTACGGATGTAGCAGTGTGTGGGTAGTGTTTGTTTTGGGTGTTAGTAAAAGAGACTGGGGGGCCGGGGATGTAATAGTAAAGGCTGTTGGCGTGGCATCTCGGTGGAGGAATATTGCATAGGAAGCTTGGGGGGGGTATTCAGTGAGGATAAGAGAGAGATCAGATAGATAGAGAGCAAGAGAGAGGGATGACGGAGCGACCTGAGAGATGGAATTCTGGGGGGCTGTGGGGTGTCTTCTGAAGGAGATAGAGAGGGGGGGCTTTGAGTGTATAGAGGTTTTGGGGTGTCTTCTGAAGGAAATTTATATAGTGAGATGCTTTGGGCTATCTTCTGAGGGATATACACACACACACACACACACACATAGAGAGAGCATGTGAAATAGGCTTTGGGGTATATAATATAAAGGCTTTTGGGTGTCCTCTGGGGAAATATTTATATAGAGGCTTTAGGGTGTCTTCTGAGGAAAAAATTATATAGAGAGAGATGCTTTGGGGAGGTTTCTGAGGGAAATATATAACGAGAGAGGCTTTGGAGTGTCTTCTGGGGAAAATATATAAAGAGAGGGGCTTTGGGGTGTTTTCTGAGGAAATACATATAGCGAGAGAGATGCTTTGAGGAGTTTTCTGAGGGAAATAAAGAGAGAGGCTTTGGGAAAACATATAGAGAGAGGTTGGCTTTGGGGTGACTTCTGAAATATATAGAGAGAGATATGCTTTGGGGTGTCTTCTGGGGGAAACAGGTAAAAGGCTTTGGGGTGTCTTCTGAGGGAAATGATGTGGAGAAGACCCAACTACTCTCGAGAAAGAGCTTTCCTACTCAAAGGCTGTCTACCTGGCTGACAAAAAGTTATTGCAGGGCGGGGAAGGGTTCCACAACTCGGACCCTCCTCCAACCACGTGACGAGGAGCCACTCTGTCCCCCTCCCTCGCCTCCCAGCTTTGTTATAGACGTTTGAGGCGTCGCCCTTGGAGGGATTTCTCCGTCTCTTTTTTATCTAAGGGGTTTGCTTCGTCTCACACACACACACACATCTACGTTGTTTCTGATATTTCCCCTTTACATTCCTAGGAGGAGACACGGAGAAGTTGGGTCAGCCAAGAGAAAACAAGACCTCCTTCCCAACCCTCTAGCTTTCCCAGCACAAAGCCACCTCCCCGCCTCGCGCGTTGCTTTTATAGGGCTTCGCCCCGCCCCTCTTCCTTGCCACGCCCCCTTCTCTCTCACCCCTCCCCTCGCTCCAGGCACTTCCTGCGGCCTCGCGCTGGTGGTTAACCCTTGAAGGGCGGGCTGCGCGCGGCAGAGCAACGCCTCGCTCCCTCTCCCGCTACATCGGTCTTTTTTGCTGCTGTTGCCGAGCGGACTTTATTGGGTCTAAACGGGTCTCATTAGCAGGCACTTAAAGGGATCAATAGCAGGCAGCGGAAAGCCTGGGGACCATTCCTTCTTCGATGGATTTCCTGAGACTTTTATTTCCTGCGCTCTTTCGCCCCGAAGATGGCTTAATTGGCGGAAGCAGATGGCGGCGCAGGCTCTCGCCACGAGGGCCGGGACTCTTCTCAGTTACGTGTTTGTGAAGATCCCACATTTACTGATCTAAACTGGGATATATGGCAGTGTGGCCTCAGGGCCCTTCCACATAGCCCTATATCCCAGATATTTTGGGATTTTCAGCCTTGATATTCTGGGATATAGGGCTGTGTGGAAGGGCCCTCAGATAATCCAGTTTAAATCAGATATTGTGGTATTTCCCGCTTTGATATTCTGGGATATAGGGCTATGTGGAAGGACCCTCAGAGGACTCTGGTACCTCATTAAGCTGCAATGCCCAGCATCCCACAAGATGCAACCATGGCAACTAAAATTGGAGTACTATCATGGAATTATACACCATGATAGGGCCCATAATTTGAATAAAATTCTCTTGGAAAAGAGAGATGGAGTGAAAAGTGTCAAAATTGTTACAATTTCACTATGGGTCCTTCCACACAGCCATATAACCCAGAATATCAAGGCAGAAAATCCCACAATATCTGCTTTGAACTGGGTTATCTGAGTCCACACTGCCATATATTCCAGTTCAAAGAAAATGTGGGATTTTATTCAGCTGTGTGGAAGGGGCCAATGTAACATGATTTTTGTTCCTTGGTTATAAATGTCATTTCCCTATCAATCTATCCTAAAAACATGGGAAAAGTTTATTAAACTGCGAGAACTTTGTTTTTTGCGGGATATCTCACAGCACATTTTGCTATAGTTTTTCAATTAATATTTCATTGAGTCTCAACCAATTCAACACAGTTTGTGGCAGCCACAAAAACAGAGTTTCTGGAATGGAACAACTTCTTTCAAAGTAATTACTGCATAATTAAACAGGAATCGCACTTCCAAACCAGGAACAGAATTAATTTTCAAATTTTGTCACATAGTGTCAATAACTTTCCATATTTGCATTTATTTTTCTTGTCAGAAGCGAATAGAGAATACAGTTATAATGTATAGAAAAACCACAAAGTTAAAAACTTGGCATTATACTAAATTTCATTTGACTAGCGGGACAAGAGAGAAACCTCCCCGCAGGATAGTAACACCTAGTAACAAGGCGTCTCATGGGCAACTTCTTTGTAGATAGCTGATTCTCTCGTACCAGAAGTGACTTGCAGCATGCAGACAAACAAACCATCCAGATTTGCATAATTGTTCATTAATTTATTTGATTCATAATCAAACTATCTGCTGCAAGTCTTCCAAAATATGCAGTAGTACATTTTATTGATTAGGCCATTGGCTGTATCAAAAATATTTGACATACACATACAGTATACAGTATGATAAGTTTTGTTGTGTGCAATACTAAGGGCCTTTCCACACAGCCCTATATCCCAGAATATCAAGGCAGAAAATCCCACATTATCCGAGTGTGGACTCAGATAACCCAGTTCAAAGCAGACATTCTGGAATATAGCGCTGTGTGGAAGGGCCCTTAAAGAGCAATTTGCCCTTATCTTCCTCTTGAGCTGAGAGAGTGTGACTTTCCCAAGGCCAACCAATGGGTTTCCATGGCCAAGTGGGGATTCAAACCCTGGTCGCCAGAGGCATAGTCCAATATTGGAAACACACACAGAGAGAAAACACATTAACCTGAGGGCCCTTCCAGAGAGGCCCTAAATCCCAGGATCTGATCCCAGGTTTTCTGTTTATCCCAGATTACCTGGCAGTGCAGACTCATATAATCCTGTTTAATGTGGAAAACCTGGGATAAGATCCTGGAATATAGGGCCTGCCTGGAGGGGCCCTTCCATACAGCCACATAACCCAGAATATCAAGCCAGAAAATCCCACAATATCTGCTTTGAACTGGGTTATGTGAGTCCACAGTGCCAGATATTCCAGTTCAAACCAGAGAATGTGGGGAAGGGGCCTCAATCTGCTGACTTGAGAGCAACAGTTGGAGCTCCTTGTTGTACCTCCAGCAAAGCACTAAGTGTAGAATTAATGCAATTTGACACCACTTTAACAGCCAAGGCTCAGTACTTTGGGATTTGTAGTTGAGCGAAGCACCAGCACTCTTTGGCAGAGAAGCCTAAACACCTTGCAAAACGATTTTAATTAATTACTTCTTAGTTTCCAATCCATGCAAACTTCCCCGAATAGGATTGGCACTTGGTGAAATCTATATAGCTGTATAAGTGTGTGTAT